TGTAGAGTTTTCCATCTGGCGTGGGTGAGTGATAGTCTACTTTGATTTTGGTTAAGGTAGATTATCATTTACAGTGTAATCAGTGAGGGGATTCTGCAGACTGTTGAGGGTTCAGCCTCCTGATGAGTCGGTGAAACTCTGACGAAACAGTTTGTCGCAGCCCCTCGTTTGTTGTCCTCTTCTCTCTCTCTGCCTACGGTTTACCGGGCAGTTCTGTTTGTGACGATATATATATAGATATTGAATTATTCTAGATTTGGTGAAGAATTTCGATGTGACCCTGAGGCAAAAGTTATTCAGTTTATTTTTCTGCATAACATAGTTTTTTTTTCGGAATTTTCTGATTTTTTTTTTTTTTTTTTGCTGGGACCTTCCCTAGTCCCTGCACGGGCTGACCACCTGGGGCCCGGGCGGCCCGGCTGGTAGCCTAGGCTTATCCGGGTTATCCCCTATGACATCTTATCTGGCAGATCTGGCTCGCTTGTATCTAATCTGAGATTACCTTTTTGTCTTAACCATCAATTTTTACTTGTCCTCTTCGTTCAAGTTTTCTTTTTTCTTTTTTGAAGTTTTTCTTTTTTTTAAGGGGGAGTATTGTATTAATAATGCTGGTGAAACGGTTTTCACCTGTTCGCAGTAGCGAATGCAGATCCCAGGGCTCGATCCCTAGTTCTCACCTTACCTGTGTACAGTATAGAGTGAGTGTTTGAACCCGTGACCTGCGTTTTGTTAGTTGTTTGTCTGTCGTAGGTCTGTGTAGTGGTAGGGGTTCGATCTGTAGATCTGTCAAGTAGGAGTTCCAGCTCTGTAGAGGTCGTAGCTATAGGTATTCTGAAATGTCAAGGTCGTAGCTGCCACAGTCCTGAAAGGTCAAGGTCGTAGCTGCTACAGTACCCGAAAGGACAAGTCCACAGACTTCCGGAAGGTCCCGGAAGTGGCCTTTCGGAGTGGGCTCACGTTTAGACAGAGGCAAGTGGGCAAGTGGTGGAGCCAACCTCAGTAGGTTGGCAGTGCGACTGCAGTGAGTCTGTGGTGCAAACCCATGCAGTCAGCGGTTCCGGTCCAGTCAGTCCCAGTCCAGTCCGGCAAGTACCATGATGGACTGTGTGCACCATGGGCCGATGGAAAAGGGCAGACCAGCGAGTTACAGAAGTATAAATCAAGAGGCAGCGCCCCGCCATTCATTCATTCCTGTGTGAGCCATGCGGAAGCGCTGCCATAAGCGACTTGTGCGAGGTGGTCTACAGTGAGCCCGAGGACAAAGTGGGCGAGAAGGAAGTTAGTCATAGCGATAGGGTAGCAGCGGCCATAGCCGCCATAGCTGTAGGTGTGTGCGGGTGTGTGCGAGTGTACAGGGAATTGCATGTGGGATATCCAGGGTGATCCTGTGTGCGAACAGCAGTGTTGAATAAGTGATGAACAGAGAGTTGTACCGCCATAGCCATCTGAAGTGAGAGTTTATCTGAACTGTGTTCTTGATTACCATATCTCTGAGTTTGAGTGGGCGCTTGTCGCCAGTTTGCTGCGCAACCTGTTTGCATGCATGAGAAGTGTGAATGAAAGCGAGTCTGATTGCACTGGAAAGCAGGTCCAGCGTCCCTTATATCGTTTTTTTTTTTTTTTTTTTTTTTTCCAGAACAACCCGAGGTGGATAGCGGTGTCTGCTCTTATCAGCGTCCCTTATATCGTCAGGTGTACCGACTCGACACAACTCCCCGTTACGGTCGAGATAATGAGACAGTGGCATTGATTACTTGCCAAACGGAAGGATTGACATCTGCTCCACGCCTGTTTTCCAAAACGTTGCTGTGATTGCTCAGCTAAAACGGATCTGTGAAAAAAAGAAAAAAGAAAAGAAAAAAAAAAACGGATATTTATTATTTAAATGGAACTAAATCATTTTTTCTTTAATTTTTTATTTTTATTTTTATTTTTTTTTAACAGTGCCTACAGTCAATTCCTAGGGAGCATCACGTGCCGGTGAACCGGGCCCGTCATCCCTTTTTGTCAACATGGGCTTAATTGTTTCACCGTGAAAAACATATCTTGACGGCATTGATTTCTTCCCGTTGGGAGAGGATTATCTGTCAGATCGTAACTTGACCTTTGCGCTTTCTACTCTTTTCCCTTAAGAAGCTGCCCTATGCTATTTCTACCGAATGTCCAGCTGATGAAATGAACTGATCGTCTGAGCCATTCCTTTCAGTCCTTTCGTGGAGCTTTCAGTAAGTTGCCACAGATGGTCGCAATGCTTATGCACAAGCGTAGCCTCCACAATTGCATGCGTTCATGTGTTTGTCTGTGTGTGTGGTTAGAATGCACAGAATGCAAGGAATTTGGTCATTTGTCATGAATGTGCGCGTTGTTTCGCATGTGGCTTTGTCTGCGCAGAGCTGGTTGCGGATGGTGAAATCAGGACCTGTATGACAGGTGAGCCTTCTTCCTGTGGTCTGGCCTCCACACACGTGCAACGGGCGGGGTTCGTTCGCTCTATATTTGTGTCCGTAATTCTGCAACTCTACCTGAACACACCGCCATATTCTTATCGCGGATGGCTTCGGCCTTAACTTGTCGTCCTTCCAGGACTTCAAAAGCACCAGTACATGTGGGCCTCTTCGTTACGAGGCGGATTCCCCATGCTTGCCAAATCTTTACTGAAATGCCAGCGCGGCGTTTTTGTTTTCGTTTTGGCTCGCGCCGCCCGCCATCTCGGTCCGGTTGCCCCGAGCCTCCGAATTTTTCGGAGAGATCCTCTCGTCATTCTCATTCTCAACTTGCCTGGGCCCATGTACTGGTGGTCTACGGGAGTCGCTCGCTCTGTCCCGACATCCATCAAAGCCATCAAAGCCATCGAAGCCGGTAACAATTTGCGAGCGCCATCCAAATGGAGAGAGAATCAGAAGTTAACGGACTTGCACTTGCTTGGAAGCGACGGGGAATCGGGGAATCGGAGGTACGAGCCGTATGAATGATGTGTGCAAGAAAGACAAAGAGTCAGACACATCATTCTCATCACAACAGACAGAACCAGAAGGTGGTTCGAAATGTCCGATGTTGAGTTTCGCTCTGGTTGTCTGTAATTCTGCAACTGTACCTGAAAACTGTTTTATCCGCAGACATCTCCAATCCTAACATGTCGTCCCCGTCCTTCCAGGTTTCTATGGATGGTCGACGATGGTCCATGAGTGAGGGGTCCATGAGTGAGGGGTTCATGAGTGAGGGGTCCAAGAGTGAGGGGTTCATGAGTGAGGGGTCCAAGAGTGAGGGGTCCATGAGTGAGGGGTCCATGAGTGAGGGGACGATGAGAGGGACGATGAGGGGACGATGAGGGGGACGATGAGGGGAACGATGAGGGGACCATGAGGGATCCATAAGGGAACCGTGAGGTATCCATGAGGGGTCCACGAGTCCCCGTATCCATGACCGCCCGGAACGATTTGTCCTCAGCTGGAGACTGTGACAAGGTTACACAGTTACAGCTGCTTTGACGCACTTGGGAACGAGGTCCAGAAATTTCCGACATGTTTCCAAGACGTCCAAAAAAGGTTTGCTAAAGGGGTTTCAAGGGGTTCCGGAAAGGGTTCCGAGAGGGTCTGTTTCAAGGAGGTTATTTTCAACTTGAAGGAGGGTCTGTTTGGAACACCGCCGAGTCAAATGAAGACGCGCCCAGGCGGGCTCAGCAAAGTTCCAAAATGGCACCGGAACGGTCCCAAAAGAGACTTTCTGAAAGAGCTCAGAAGTATCTCTTTATAAGTTTATAAGGCACTGAAAGGTCTGACACTCCTCTCAAAGAATTCCAAGTTAAGTTTTTTTTCGGGAGGTAAGGGCGGTTTCTTCGGAGGAGGTTTGGAATCCTTAGGATGTTCCCAAGGTTCTGAAATGGTTCCAAAGGTCCAAAGGTTTGGAGAGAGTTTTTTTTTTCAAATGGTTTTGTCACTTTTGGAAGGTCCAGATTAGCAAGTAGCGGAGTCGGGATGAGATTCAAGATGTTCAGTTGTTTTTTTCTGAATTTATATATCCTTTTCCTCCCGAGAAGGAAGCCGAGCGAAGTACTATTTTAGTATTTTCAACTATTTTCCTTCCTTTCTTTTTTGAATGTTGTTCTGGGCATCTGATTGTATCTGGATTTGGACTAGAGTCTGTATTTCAACAGTTCCGCAGGGGTACCGAGTCTACCGACTGAGCTAGGCTCGTTGGTCGAAGGCCTCTTTTTGTCGGCGACAGAAGGTTCTTGATTTCTTTTTCATCTGGGCAAGGGACTGGTTCATTTACTGAGGTTCTGTTTTTTTTTTTGTTTTTTTTTTTTTTTTTTTTTTTTTTTT